TGTGGGATTATCCTACATGGCAAGAAGAAATATTTAAGTCCTGAAACATTTCCATTTTCTACCACATACTCTAGGGAGCCATGCTTCACAGATTCTGAGACTATTACCTAAGTTATCATTTTAACAGGGCATTCTGCTATACACCTTCCTCCCACCGAATAACTTTATTTTGTTTACACATAGGTCTAACTAACAAGGATATTAGATGAGATTATCTGCCTATTTTCTTTTTCCTGGGGATTTGCCCCCTTGCAGAGAATGAATGCTTTAATAGGCCAGCTGCTTTAGCTTCTTTCTGTTAGAGTTCTACAAGTACTATATCCTCATTTAGTCATAGGGGAAAAAAAAAAAAAAAACTATTACTTTCATTCCTCTACATCTAAAAGGCAGGCAACGGGCACTAAAGTTTGACTCCAGTCAGTTGGGTGCAAATTTTGTGCTCTTTTTACTTTTTGGATTCTCAAAGAGAAGCTAAAAGGATGTCAAATCCATGTACTTACTTTTAGTCCAGGGCAGCCAAACCAGATGACTTGTGGATGGGAAGTAAGAGAATGCCCTTCCAACATGAGACAAAAGGCTCAGATATCTGCTTTATTTTTCCTTCAAGACTTAAAACGAGTCATTAATCAAAGATTCACATGGTGATTCAGCATCAGCATGCAAACCCCACTGAGTGCAATATTAATATTAAAAATGTGTCCTCTAAATGAAACTCAATTCAAAAAGTTGGATCAAAAATACTGAAAATGATTTTATTTTTAACAGATTGGTAGTCTTTGTACCCTTGAGCACAACAGTAAACATTTCAATTTGCATCCATTCTAATTCCAAGTGATGTTATGTTTCAACGCAATAGAAAGTATTGAGGTAAACATCAGTATTTATTTATAGAGGCAACAGTCTTGAGCAGTATCGTAGCCACCACTGAAATGGAAGTTCAAAGATTCATTCAGTATAAAAGTTTTGCATGCATGCAGAAAAGATGATTGTCTTACATTTCTCTCTTATCTAAGGTAAAATGTCAGCCTTTGTAAACGCTATACTGAATGTTGCATGAATCCTGTCCATTTTGTGTACATCTTCTGCCATCAATTCATGGGAACAAACAAGACTTCTAAATTTAACTATACTGTGTCAGTTAATACCTGTAGGACATTTTATATTCTATAGTTGAGATTGAAATCTACTTACACAATTTCCCGGAAAACTCGGAATAACTCAGAAAGAGATTTATCGGCAGCCCAAACATACTAAGACCTTTCTAAATCTGGCTTAGATTAACACTAAACTAGATAATCTAAAAAGCAATGTTAAATTCTGTGGGTAGAGAAAGTGCAAAATTTTTGAACTTATATTATCCATATAATGAATATGAACAAAGTATATGAGGTTTTTATCTTTTTTTAGAAAGATAAATTATTAAATTGTTACCCGAGGTTTTATCACTTTTTAGAAAGATAAAACCTGGGCTAATAATTTAATGACTGTATGGCATTAAACTGTTAATTCCATTATTCTTCTAACTGAGATTTTGCTGAAAACTTCCTGAGGAAAGCCTTCCCCCCAACAAGAGGCCTTTTATACCAGGAGTAAATACCAGTACTGGTTAATTCAGAATAAATGTAGAAAATTCTCTCTTGCTATGATATTTGACAATTATTAATTTCTGTCTTCTTTTAGCAAATATTTATTTAGTACCACTTATATGTCAGTCACTCTCTTATATAATGAGAATTCATGGAACTCATACCTCTCATGAGGGAGAGAGAATTTATCAAACAATGCCAAGAATAGGTTTATAAAACCTGAAGTTAGTGCTATAAAAGAGAGAACTGTCAGTCTCTGATAGCATATTGCAAAAGACTCTGACCTAGACTGGCATGTCACAGAGGACTTTCCTGAAAGTGTCCAGGTACAGATCAGGAAGATGAACAAACAAAGAATGAAAAACACAGTTTATTGGGGAATATTCTAGACAAAGGATATCAAAGGGCTGTACAGATGCATATAAAATAGTCCTCTGGCCAAAGGGCTGTGATATCTACCTGTTAAAACTGGGTCTGTCTTAAACATAAGACTTAACAGCATAAAAACCATAGAAGAAAACCTAGGCAAAACCATTCAGGACATAGGCAGAGGTAAAGACTTCATAACTAAAACACCGAAAGCATTGGCAACAAAAGCCATAATAGACAAATGGGACCTAATTAAACTCCAGAGCTTCTGCACAACAAAAGAAACAATCATTAGAGTGACTCTGCAACCAACAGAATGGGAAAAATTTTTGCAATCTACCCATCTGACAAAGGGCTAATATCCAGAGTCTACAAAATACTAAAACAGATTTACAAGAAAAAAACAAGCCCATTTGAAATGGGCAAAGGATATGAACAGACATTTTACAAAAGAAGATATATATGAGGACAACAAACATGAAAAAATGCTCATCATCACTGGTCATTGGAGAAATGCAAATCAAAACTACATTGAGATACCATTTCACGCCAGTTAGAATGGCGGTCATTAAAAGTCTGGAGACAACAGATGCTGGAGAGGTTGTGGAGAAATAGGAACACTTTTACACTGTTGGTGGGAGTGTAAATTAGTTCAACCATTGTGGAAGACAGTGTGGTGATTCCTCAAGGACCTAGAAATAGGAATTCCATTTGACTCAGCAATCCCATTACTGGGTATATATCCAAAGGATTATAAATCATTCTATTATAAGGACACATGCACATGAATGTTCATTGCTGCATTGTTTACAATAGCAAAGACTTGGAGCCAACCCAAATGCTCATTGATGATAGACTGGACAGGGAAAATGTGGCACATATACACCATGGAATACTATGCAGCCATAAAAAATGATGAGTTCGTGTCCTTTGTAGGGACATGGATGAACATGGAAACTATCATTCTCAGCAAACTGACATAAGAACAGAAAATCAAACACTGCATGTTCTCACTCATAGGTGGGTGTTGAACAATGAGAACACATGGACACAGGGAAGGGAGCATCACACACTGGGGTCTGTGGGGGGAACTAGGGAAGGAACAGCAGTGGGTGGGGAGTTGGGGAGGGATAACATAGGGGGAAATGTTAGATATAGGTGATGGGGAGGAAGGCAGCAAACCACATTGTCATGTATGTACCTATGCAACAATCTTGTATGTTCTTCACATGTAGCCCCAAACCTAAAATGCAATAAAATATATATTAAAAAAATTAAAAAACAGGTCTGTGACTGGAACCCAGAAATGAAAGGGTTGAGAAGGGCTGCAAAGGTAGAAATGGGAGAAGGCTTACTCTCAAGAGACCTCGTGGTTCCGTAAAAGAACTTGGCTTTCATCCTTTAGGCAATGGGATGCTATTGGAGAGTTTTATGTCAGGCATTGCTGTGAACAGCTTTACATTTTGATTAGCTCCTGTAAGTTGCTGTGCTGGGAATAGCCATGGGGTTGTCAAGAGAAGATGACAGAGAACTGTTAGTAGTCCGCTACAGCTGCCCAGGCAATACTATGTATAACAGCAGCCTTGCAGCAGGAGCTGCTGCGGTTGTGTCTGCTGTTGTCCATTGACCCGTTTGTTTCAGTTGCTCAGATCCAGCTGACTTGAAAAAATTGTGGTCACTCTTTTTGTATTTCAGGGAAAATATGTATGGGAAGAAATAAAGGTGATGAACAAAGGGAGTGTGAGCTTGGCTGTGAGTAGCCACCCAATACTTCTGGTTTTCAAGTACTATAATTTTAATAAACAAAACCATGTGTTTTCCTTAAGGGAATTTATAACCATTTTTTTTCTATGAAATAAATAGAGAACTACTTGGCTCTCTAAAATTAAGAGTCAAGGGATACACTAAGTAATTTTTTAGAACTGCCTTTCATGCTGAAAAATGACCTTACTCTGTGATACCATAACTTAGGCAATGACATCTTAATTCAATAGTGGACCTTTGTTCCTATCTTCAAGTAGAAAAAGCAGCAATCTTTAATACATAGCTCTTCATGAGCTTAAAGCAGTATTATTCAGAACTTTAGACACATTTTTAAAATGGCTTATCAAATATATAAATAAAAGAAATAGCTGTATAACTGTTACATGTATTTGGGTTGGGTTTGGTTTCACTTTTTTTTAGAAATTTGATATGATTTTTATTACTTTAAAAGAAGCTGACAGCATGTTTATTTCAAGATGGGCAAAGGATCTAGAATACAGATTACTAACTTCAGAAAATACTTATGTTGATATTTTCATAGTCAAATCATAGCCTATGTTGATGAGAATTAAGAATGTAAGTTACCTTGGAGAGCTAAACATTATAGACCCATGGGGCCTTAGTATTATAGATTCATATATTCTTGAAATAAGCAAAACATGTTTTAAAACATTTACTGTATCAACCTTTTTTTTTTTTTTTTTTTGCCAACAAGACTTCTTTTTCCACTGATCAGGAAGGCAGATGTCATAATTGTGAAAACAGAAATGAAATGATCTCTTAAATATGTGACTGACCAGCAGAGAATAACTAAAAGGCTGAAAAAAAAAAAAAAAAAGAACCCAATTCCAGGAAATCACGGAACAATAAGGCAGCCATTATCGACCTGTGAGGTTAGCGTGTTAGAGAGAGGGCAGGATGGAGAGAAAGCTGAAAAAAAGGCCTTGAGACAACATTATTTCCAGGTCAGAGCTTTTGAAATCACAGTTCATGGAACAGAGCTGGAAATAAACAGTGGTCAATGCTCTTCTCTCTCCATCACTTTATTTTGTGCCTGTTATACTTTATTTAAGAGCAAAGTAGAATCAATAAAATATTTCTTTTCAGGCAATCCATGAATTTTCAAAAACTCATAATATCTACTCAGGGTGTTAAAGTTTCTTTTAGGCTAGTAACAAGACTGGGGTTTCATAATCACGCTGATATTTGAGAAGAATATGTGGGCCTCAGATAACCTCAGATGAACTCTACTCCCACGAATCAGGCATCAATGCTCCAGCAATGGATACTGCCATGACCTTTACTCACCTTCTTCCTCACCCATCAGTGATGAGGTGAGAAGGGATTAATAAGAAAAAAAATGAATGTTTGGTGAATGTTTTCCTATCATTGTATTTTTAAGGAGGTTTCTGAACAGCAAATATGGTCATTTTATGCCAAGAGACTTTGCAATAATAAAAACTGATTGAACCTCTAGGAAGACAGAGAGGGGAAAAAACTTTGGTAGCTAAAGTGATGGACTAATGTTTCACATTTTCAAGTGTATTTCCTCTTTTCTCCCTTTTTTAAATCTTGCTGTCTTCTGATTTTTTTTTTAACATGAGTTAAGTAAGAATGTTTCCTGAATTAACCTTTTGATGCTAAACTTTGATGAAAATGTTTTGAAAATAGCATTCTACATGTGAAGACATGTCTGGAATAATTGGGTCAATTTCTGTTTGTTGCAGATAGATCAGCAGAGGCCACAAAAGCAGCAAATGGCCTTATATGAATACAAGCCAGATACCAAAGTCAAATATACTTAGACTGGTTCTTTATTCCACTGGGGATAGAGAACAAATATTTGCTGGAATATTTTGTTTCCATTGATGGCTAATGCCAAACAAAAATATCTAGTGAGATATCTGAATAGGTTTAATAAAGATGAAAATGGCTTGAAATTATATTTGATTTATACCAAAAAGTATGACTTGCTAATTCATATTGAAATACTCCTTCAAAGAGCTAACCAATTTGCTAGTTGGATTAAAAGACAATTATCCCTTTGTAGATCTTTAGATGATCTGTGAAAACATATTAGGAATCAAAGGTTGTATAATAGAAAACCCCTTCAGCATTTGGATGTTGACAGGTGTATGTGTTTCTCTGAACTGGCTCACAGAAATGCAGGTTGACAGCTTTTCAACTTGAGAAATCTCAAGTCTCAGCTCAAACAACAGGTACATCCTGTGGCCTTGTCATTTTTATTTCTTAAGACTTATTTGCTGGATCTGAATTTTTAGGAAAAAAAAAATCTGTCCTTAAACTTACGTGTTTTTCTCTAAAACGGAAAGCTATATCTAGAAGAAAAAAAATACACAAACAAATGAAACAAACTTCTGGCTAAACTATTAATAAAAAGAATGAGTTCATGTCATTTACAGGGACATGTATAAAGCTGGAAACCATCATTCTCGGAAAACTGATACAAGAATGGAAAACCAAACACCACATGTTCTCACTCATAAGTGTGTGTTGAACAATAACACATGGACACAGGGAGAAGAACATCACACACCAGGGCCTCTCAGGGGGTAGGAGGCTAGGAGAGGGATAGCATTAGAGAAATACCTAATGTACATGATGGGTTGATAGATGCAGCAAACCACCATGGCACATGTATACCTATGTAACAAACCTGCACATTCTGCACACGTACCCCAGAACTTAAAGTATAATTTTTTTAAAAAAGGAATTTTTCTGAAAACTGTTGGCTTCTGCTGACATCTACCTAGGAGCTGAGCCTGGCTCTTCTTTCCATAGTCCATAAAGTTATTTTCCTTAGAATTTTACCTATCCAGTAGTTGAGACTTTGTTTAAACTTAGGGAATGTAGCCAGTCAACCCAATTTAAAGTAAAACTAACCTTTTTTTCTCAGTCTTAGAGTTTCTGCTCAACTTTGTATGTCATTATAGGTTCTTTTACTCTCTTGATATTTTTCTTTTTAAAAATATATCTTAACACATTTTATTTTTATAAATTCTAGTGTGAATTATGTATTTTTAAAAGATGTTCTTGTATTTAAGAGGAATAAATGCCAGAATTATTTTAGTGTTGCATGTTCAAACTTTCTCTTAGGCAAAGGAATGAATTCCCTTAAATACTGCCTCAGCCAAGAAAGAGTTCAAACGTAGTGGCAGCCTTGATTATTTTAAGGAGCTTGGTAACTAGATCTTTTCTAAATGTCTTAGTTTCTTTGTTTCTTGAAAAGCTCTGTTCGGGGCATCATCCCTGACTTGTCAAATCAATATTTTTTTTTATGTTGGGGGGTCTTTATTTTGAAACACCCACATGTGATTTTGCTGGGCATTCCTGGTTAAGAACTACTTTAGGAACTTAAATTCTGGTATTAGCATTCTTTCAGGGAGATCATTGTTCTATAATCCAACCAACTGCCTTACCTAGCAACACTTGGAAAAGTCATTAACGATCCTTACATTATAAGTCACTCCTGCTTTTCTTCATTTGGGAGTGTACCACATGGAGCTGTTTAATAAGGAATCAGCACCAGCAATCCACAGGCCTGTCCTTGTGACTTTTGATTATGTGTCATTTTTTAAAAAACTGTTATTTGTTTGGGTTGGGTTGGGTTTCACCCAACAGGATATAATTTCTGAATGAGATTTAACTGTTCCTCAATTTCAGTAGTTCAGACATATCACACCAAGTATATCTTTCTATTTTTAGGATACTCTGTCCTCAGTGACAGATGCCCTAAAATTGGCTGAATTAAAGTGTCCTGATTGAATTTTGGGTGTAGCCACATGTACAAATTTTAAATCAGATCATTCCCAATATACCTTCCAAAATTTTTTTAAATCTGTCTAATCATTTTTGTGAAATACGGTAGTAGTAGACAGTTCAAAAATCCTTATTTCCATAACTAGGCAACAGAGTTGTTCTGTTAATGAACAGTGTACTGATAAGATGAAAGGATGTTTTACAAGGCTTTCTTTTTTATTTGATTAAATTTCTTCTTTTTTAAATGTATATTTTATTGTCTTTTAGGTTTTGGGGTACATGTGAAGAACATACAAGATTGTTGCATAGGTACATACATGGCAATGTGGTTTGCTGCCTTCCTCCCTGTATCTGACATTTCTCCCCATGTTATCCCTCCCCAATTCACAAGACTTTCCTGGATGCAAGATCATGTGGATCTTGAATGGATAGAAATAAGGGAGTTTAGAACAATCCTTTACTTTTGAATTTAAGAGACATTTTAGGGAAGGTAAATATGTGAATCCCAGATGGGATGAGCCCAGCTGGGGACCTGGGAAAGGGAGCATATTTAGAGGATAAACATAACATCAAAAGCTTTCGGCAAAAATAGACCATTCTAACTCTCATGGATTGAATACCTGCTACATGCAATGACTCCAGCAATCCTCAAAGTAGGCTTTACTAGCCCTATTTTATATATGAGGAAACTGAGACACTTAAGAAGATAATGAATTCATTCAGGGACATAAAGCTGGTAATCAACAGAGCCAAAATTTGAATCCAAATCTCTTTTAACTTAATCTGATCTTTTCATTCTGCTGCCATTTAAGAAAGCAACTGGAGTTGGGAGTTCACTGTACACTGGCAGGGTTTCTCAACAACAAAGTCAGAAGAAGCATAGAAACAGAAGAGTCATCATTTCATTGAAAAAATAAGTGGCGAGGATCCAAGATGGCCAAATAGGAACAGCTCCAGAGTGCAGTTCCCAGTGAGAACAGCACAGAGGGTGAGTGCTCACCACATTTCCAAATAAGTTTTCACTGCACACAGACCAGGAGATTCCCAGGCCAAAAAGCACCACGAGTTTTCAGTGTGGCAGATTCAGCTGGTGCCAGGTCAGTGCATAGAAACTCACACAAGTCTGGGTGGCCATTTCAACTGGCACCTGGAATGCCTAGGGGACAGAGCCACCCATTCAACAGAAAGGGAGGGGGCTGAGACAGGAAGCTAGGCGATCTGGCTCGGTGGGTACTACCCTCACGAAACAAGCAATCTGAAACATTCTGGATTGAGAGTTTGGCAGCAAGTGCAGCTGGACCCAGGACAGTCCAGCTCAATGAGGGAAAGGGTGTCCCCCACTACTGAGGCAGCTGCCACTACCGAGGCAGTTCACACAGTAGCTCAGCAGAGTCTGAGGCAGCACAGAAATGCCTCTACTGGCAGACTGTGACTAGAATACTCTGTGTGGGGTAGGACATCGATGAAAAAAGGCAGCAGCATGACAGGAAGTTATAAATAAAGCCAACCTTCCTAGACCAGAGCACTTGGGAAAAGAGGCAGTTATGAGTTCAGCTGCAGCAGACTTAAATGTACCTGCCCAGCAGCTCTGCAGGTAAAAACAGAGCTCCCAGCACAGCACTTGAGCTCCTATAAGGGACAGACTGTCTCCTCAAGCAACACCCTGACCCCCATATACCCAAAGAGACACCTCATAAAGGGGAGCTCAGGCCAACATCTGGTGGGTACCTTTCTGGGAGAAGGATAGCAGAGGAAGAAACTGGCAGCAACTCTTGCTCTTCTGCAGCCCCCCCAGGCAAGCAGGGTCTGGAGTGGACCTCCAGCAGTCCTGCAGCAGAGGGGCCTCACTGTTAGAAGGAAAACTAAGAAACAGAAAGAAATAGATTCAACATCAACAAAAAAGAACATCCACTTAGACCCCCAATCCGAAAGTCACCAACTACAAAGACAACAGGTAGATAAAACAACTAAGATGAGAAGAAACCAGCACAAAAACGATGAAAACACCAAAAACCAGAATGCATCTCCTCCTCCAAGGGATCACAACTCCTCACCAACTAGGAATCAAATACAGATGGAAAATGAATCAGATGAATTGACAGAAACTGGCTTCAGAAGGTGGGTAATAACAAACTTCTAAGAGCTAAAAGAACATGTGCTAACCCAATGCAAAAAAACTAAGAACCTAGAAAAAAGGTTAGCTGAGATGCTAACTAGAATAAATAGCTTAGAGAAAAATATAAATGGCTTGATGGAGCTGAAAAACACAGCACAAGAACTTTGCAAAGCATACACAAGTTTCAATAGCTGAATTGACCAAGCAGAAGAAAGGATATCAGAGATTGAAGATGAACTCAATGAAATAAAATGAGAAGGCAAGAACAGAGAAAAAAGAGTGAAAAAATTGAACAAAGCCTTCAAGAAATACGGGATTATGTGCAAAGACCTAATCTACGTTTGATAGGTGTACCTAAATATGACAGAGAGAATGAATCCAAGCTGGAAAACACTCTTCAGGATATTATCCAGAACTTCCCCAACTTAATAAGGCAGG